TGTTCAGTGACACTGTGGGTAGATGTTCAGTGACACTGTGGGTAGATGTTCAGTGACACTGTGGGTAGATGTTCAGTGACACTGTGGGTAGATGTTCAGTGACACTGTGGGTAGATGTTCAGTGACAGTGTGGGTAGATGTTCAGTGACACTGTGGGTAGATTTCAGTGACACTGTGGGTAGATTTCAGTGACACTGTGGGTAGATTTCAGTGACAGTGTGGGTAGATGTTCAGTGACAGTGTGGGTAGATGTTCAGTGACAGTGTGGGTAGATTTCAGTGACAGTGTGGGTAGATGTTCAGTGACAGTGTGGGTAGATGTTCAGTGACAGTGTGGGTAGATTTCAGTGACAGTGTGGGTAGATTTCAGTGACAGTGTGGGTAGATTTCAGTGACAGTGTGGGTAGATTTCAGTGACACTGTGGGTAGATGTTCAGTGACAGTGTGGGTAGATGTTCAGTGACAGTGTGGGTAGATGTTCAGTGACAGTGTGGGTAGATGTTCAGTGACAGTGTGGGTAGATGTTCAGTGACACTGTGGGTAGATGTTCAGTGACAGTGTGGGTAGATGTTCAGTGACAGTGTGGGTAGATGTTCAGTGACAGTGTGGGTAGATGTTCAGTGACACTGTGGGTAGATTTCAGTGACAGTGTGGGTAGATTTCAGTGACAGTGTGGGTAGATTTCAGTGACAGTGTGGGTAGATGTTCAGTGACACTGTGGGTAGATTTCAGTGACAGTGTGGGTAGATGTTCAGTGACACTGTGGGTAGATTTCAGTGACAGTGTGGGTAGATGTTCAGTGACAGTGTGGGTAGATTTCAGTGACAGTGTGGGTAGATTTCAGTGACACTGTGGGTAGATTTCAGTGACAGTGTGGGTAGATGTTCAGTGACAGTGTGGGTAGATTTCAGTGACAGTGTGGGTAGATGTTCAGTGACACTGTGGGTAGATTTCAGTGACAGTGTGGGTAGATGTTCAGTGACAGTGTGGGTAGATGTTCAGTGACACTGTGGGTAGATGTTCAGTGACAGTGTGGGTAGATGTTCAGTGACACTGTGGGTAGATGTTCAGTGACACTGTGGGTAGATGTTCAGTGACACTGTGGGTAGATGTTCAGTGACACTGTGGGTAGATGT